TTTGGAGAAATTCTCCCTTTCTCTTGCCATGTGACTCTTTGTTTTTTGATGTAGTTAAGAAAAATTCTAACAACAAATATTTATTGACTTCAAACTGCCTCCTTAGCTCCCATCTTAGATAATATTTTTGTTACTTTTAGAAGGTTACAATGTAGACGGAGTGACAAGGAATATGCAGAACCTGCAATGATACACATTTACGACTAGCTCTTAGAACCTGTGAAATCAGGAGGCGCAGTCCTTCTGACTGAGGCGAGGTGAAGAGATGCTTCTGAGAAGTGGGAAAATGGAGTCATGCTTGGGGGTGACACAGAGAATTGGCATGTGGGGAGTGTGTTTGGGCACTCCCGGGCAGTCTGGGTACTTGGAGTATCTGAGTAGTATCTGTTTCAGGACAAGGATGAGACCACTCTTGGATCGATCTGGTCAATCTTGAATGCTTTAATAAGTAAGTATAGGGGAGATCTCAGGAAAGTTATGTGACAGGAGCTGCCAGTTCAGCAGCTAGGTACACTTGTGTTAGAATGTGTTGGGTTAGGGAGAAAGTAGAAGACGAGACACCAGTTAGGGGATGGTTGTGGTTGTTTTAGGTGAGAGGCCATGAGGATCTCAATTAGATGGGAAGAGATGGGTGGTTGGGAACCACTGCAGAAGTGAAATCACTGTGCTATGCTGTGGGCTGGGAGGGCAGCTAACCGTTGTTTCAATAGTGGGAGGAGAAGTCAAGTCTGAGGAGAGAATCAGGTTTGGCAGGTAGAAAGGTGACTTTGGTTTATTGGCTTACTGTGTTGTTAGCGCTATCTCATTATTTTATAGTGCACAGATTGCTTTTTATTTTATTTTTTATTTAGATATTAAATATTCCTCAGTGCCGTATCAGTCATAACCTAGACATTCTGTAACTTTGTAAACACCTTAAGGAGCTCTTCTTTTGAGTAACATTGATTGAAACACTGGCTTTCCTATCAAAATATAGCTTCTTATTCACCTAACTGCTTTCATAATATCAAGCAGATAAGAAAATACACTTGGTCATGATGTGGAGTTGAAACTGGCTTTTATTTTACAAACAAAATGAGGATTAACTCTTCATTTCAGTTAGTAAGATATCAGAGAGAGCTAGTATTCTTTCAGAAAGGTAATGGTGTAAAATAGAATGTAAATAATTAACAGCTTGAAAGAAGCTGCATGTTATATATAGAAAATATTTTAGCTTTGAAAAAGGATTATAAGAAATATTTTAAGTAATATGAAGTATTGTATGGAGATCATAAGTGCCATCTTCATGTCCCTTTATGTCAGGAGATGGAATGATTGGAAAGTAAGTCCTTAGGACCTTGTCATGCACCTTGGGGGAGGTTGAGCAGTTCATTAAGGACTGGGATTTGATTTGGGGGAGGGGAGTAGTATGTAGCTCCGTCCTTCCCCTGACATACTGATATCACGGGAGTTGGAGCTGAGGCCACCTCGAGCTGTGAATAGAACAACAAGATGCCCCCAGTCCAAAGTGCTGCACTGCAGGTCCCCAGAGCACTGAAGATAATGTTTTAGAAGTGGGATGAGGTGGGTTGAGGAGGAGGTCTTCATTCTGACCATGAGAGAAAACATAGAATTATACGATGAGAGCCATTAAAAGGTAACAAGTAGTCTCGTAAACTTTATCAAGGTATTTAAACTTTTCAGGTATTTCGTTGTCTTTGAAATGTGCCCATTTTTATAACAGTGCTTCTCTGCTTTCCCCCCCACTTCTGGTGAAGTTTGGGAAGGCAGGAGTGGAGTAACTGGTCTTGTACCCTATCAACCCTGAAACTGCTTAGGAGAGTACCTTATTTCATGGGATTATTTGTTCCTTCTCTGTAGCTAGTTTATAAGTAAGGTGTAAAAATATATTTATTTATTTTGTATTTAAAGTAATACAACATTTAATCATTTTTTTACATGCAGTGCTATGAAATGGTTAAAATATTTTTTAAAATGGCAGATAGGAAAGGAAAGCTACATTTTGTTAAAGCAGTTCTTTTTGGGGAGTGTCCTGTCATGAAATGATAACTTGCTTGGCCGTGGTTACTTGCAGAGAATAGATGACCAAAGGAAGTAGTGGCTTCTTCTGTTGAAGACCTCACAGTACCAGTTCTCTCCCACCCCAAACACACAAATCCCTCATAGTGCTGTTTACCCAAAGGAAATCCTATGTCATTTTGTGGGGGCGGGGGGAGAGGTGGGGAACGATCTGTTTTGTTAGTAATTTTTATGCTATTATCTCTTAGTGTTAATATAGGTATTTTCTATATTAATAAAGATACTTTCTTTCTCCTTTTCTCCAGAGTCATTTAAATGGTATAGGTGGCATCAGTAGAACTAAGGAGAGACTACAGAACCCATGGTACATACTTCACTCCATCAGATAGGAGCAGAGCTTGGTGTAAGGGTGTTTCTTAGGGTTTCTAGATTACTTTGTTAGCTGAAGCCAATGTATCAAGACTTTCTCATTTGTAGGTGACAAAGAAATACAATTAAAATCAAGCTTATACAATAAAAGAGATGTATTCGCTGACAGACTGGAATGTCCAAAGTTGTAGGTATGGCTTTAGTTGAGGGCTAAATGAAGGTCCTCGGTTGTTAGAATCAGGGCTGGGTTTGTACCACCTCTGTAGCCAGGGAAATGAATTTTCCAAAGAAAAACTTTTGCTTTTATTGCTGAGAAAAAAAAAAAAGAATACGGAAGCTGAGGAGATAGCCAACAAATGAGCACTGCTGCTGATAACATTTTGTAAAAGACAATTGCAAGATTCTGACATCTCTGTGGGTAGATTTCATGTATAATATTTTTATATGGTTGTCATTTTTTCTGGATTCTTCTTTTCTCAAATGTCATACATAGTAAATATATGTAATTGAATCAATTATGCATCAACACGGAAGCTCAGTTTAAAGAAAACGTAAGGATTCCTGTTAAAGGGACATTTTAAGTCTTACTCAAGAGCCACTTATGAATACCTTGTCTATTAGAGTTCTGTATTCTAGATGTTGCAGAGCAGCTGTTGGTATATCATATTCTATCCACAGATGTGTTTTCTTTGCATTGCTGCTCCAGCGTTTTACAATTTTGTAATTTTATACTCCTTGAAAACATGGGGAAACAATTGACTGGAGCTAAAGGCCTGTTGGCCTCTCTTGGTGAGGCTTGAGCTCTCTGCTTCCTGTCA